GTCGACATATGGCGGTTACCGCATAGCGCATTGACTTTTTGATCTCGCGATCGTTTTCTCGAACAAGTGATGCCTTTCCTCCTCTAGGTTCAACCCTAGAAAAGCGCAGATGAGGAGAGATCCTGCGGCTTGATCTCACCACGTACCCTCTACAACTACTCCAGCGTTATTGACTTTTCTCTTGGAGCAACTATAGCTTTTTATTTTTAGCTTGCTCTCGAAAGAATAGACTACGAGTATAAGCGACGGAAGCAACAAACGCAAGATGAACTGGAGAAGAAGGAGAAAGAACTTATTCAATCGATGCTGGCCGTAAGTAGCCTATCGCTTCCGTTGTCTGAGTATAAGATGAACAAAATGGCTGAAAACATTCTATTTAGGACTTAGATGAGATGGAAAAACGGATAGAATGGGAGTATACGAACATGGATGTGTCACGTACCGGAAGTGTCAATATCGTGGATTCCACGAAGAAGACACTACGCGGGTGAGTTTATGTTATCGGTTTAATTGTTTGATAGGCCACGCTTTCGCGGTCTGTACTCGTACTGAATGTCAAAATTTAGCGAGCGTTTGCCCTTTCGCTCTACTAGGAGGTTTCCATCTGCTCTGAGTAGCTTTAGAACACCTGCGTTACAGTTTGGCAGCGCTTCTCTGCCACCTCCCCAGATTAATCAGGAGTGTCAGTGCTGCAGCATGTCGAATGATTTAGATACGAAGTACACTGCATTCTGCGCGGCGATGCCGCGATTCGGATCTCTTGAACTGCGCTTTATTCTTTCACTGTGGTTCGATTCTTGAATTTCTCCTCTCAGGTTGTGCTTGCGAGATCCGAAAAGTTTTAACTTTTCAAGAAGGCTCAATCATTTCAGCGTAGGGAGAGCAGTTCGCTATAGTGGGGGCATTTTGTGTAGGTTCGCATCTGCAGGTGTCTCCTGTGGATCTGCCCATGTTCATAAAGCTGTGCAATATAAGAGCTTCCTTCACATTCGGCACGGGTTCCAAAATCATACCAAGGTGAGACTTGTAACTTGGCAGAAACTGGCAAAAAATATCGGCAAAAGGGCAGAATGCTCCTTCGCTCCCACCAACTAAGCCGAGCAGTGTCACCTAGGAGCTCTCTCAACCTGATCATGACTGCATTTACAAAGATATATTTTGTTTTACAGCCGTGGCGGGGTTCTGATCGAACCACCGACGTATTTCAATGCAACGCCGAAACCGACCACACCGAATATCACGCCTGACACTAGATATCTTCTGACGGATTCTCAAATTGCTGAGGACGTGCGAGCTTTCACAGGAGGCCAAAGTAGTCCTCAAAAGGTGACGAAGTTTCTTTTCTACCAACGTTAGTGATCTGCGGCGCTGGTCATTCTTATCTACGGCAGTAATATTTTTGGAAATGTACAGCTGCTTTTTTGTTTTGAAGGCAGCTGTAGGCGGTTAGGGAGGGCCATTTGTGGGGTCTGGACCGTGCACACCTTGGTCGTTTGTGCTTTCTACAGACTTGTTCGACGCATATGTTGAAGCTTGCCAGGGTGCTGGATTTGGCGCAGCGCCAACCCGGTCACCACCAATTGTTGAAGCGAGCAAGCGGCAAAAAATGATGGAAAACTGGCTGGCGTCCCGCCAAATCCTAGCCCCTTGACCCATCCCACATCCGCGAACAAGACCGTAAGTCCAAGCCTGTTGGGCCACGTCTGTGGAAAGGGCGCAAACGAATAGAGTTAGTCGCGCTGTGCGTGCCACCATCCCCAACTGTTTGCCTCGACAGTTTTTTTTTGCAGTATTTCAATTTTTTTTTAATTCGAGTCTGTCATCCACGTGTCCAGAGCACATGATCCAGGTGTTGAAGGGAGAAGGCAGAGAAAAATCCTTGATTTAAATATTTCTTTTTGGGTTAGCTGTAGTTGAGGGGGGAGGGTCGCGCGGCATTTGTTTCGTCGAGAAAACAGTGTATAACTTGGACGTCTAGAGACTCTCACCGCGAGACGGTGAGAGTCTCGCCGTTCAAGCGCGTTCATACTTCGCGATTCTATGCTCCAACGATCCTGTCGCGCGACCTAGACGATCCGCGGAGTATGAATACGCTCTTAGTCTCGTCGTGTGGTCCTGACGCCTACAGCAGCCCCCTCCTCTCGTTGATCTTATAGAATTGATGTAAAATGTAATTTCAGAACCAGCGATTGTTTGAAGTGATTCTAGTCAAGCAGAAACTCACCTATGATGGAAAAGTGTTAGTTGATTTCTCTTCTATTTCCATATGCTCTATGATGTTGTTTCACAAAATTTCCTCAAAATTGGTCGTTTTTCTCCTTTTCAGCTACAAACAAGGCGAAGAAGTGCACGTGGAGAATACAGAATATGGGAAGTTCCCAGCAAAGATGGACTGTATTACGGATACTGTAGTGTCATTCAAATCAACGTTGCCTTGGGATACAAGGCAAATTCATGCTTCATACTCGGATTTGACTGAAGGACGGGTGCAAATATCAAAGAAAAGAAGTAACTAACACTGATTCTCATTCGATTCTTACCCATAATTTATTGCTCACATCTATTTCATCTTTTAATGCTCAGTCAAATTGCATTTGAAAGAAACATGGTAACTAGGTTGCTAAATTGTTAAAATGAGAGATTAACTTGCAATATTTGTGAATGTGTCAATCCTGCCTCAGTAACATCAGGTACTTGTTTTTCTTTTCAATACTTGAGGAGTAGGCACAAGGTAAATAAAAAGTGTTTTATTATAATTTATCATGCCATAACGTGCGATACTATCAACGTTACTGACAGAGACCAACTCCACATGGTGGCGTTCATCATAATAATCACATTGAAAAAAACAAATTGTAACAGCCTTCAGAAGGCTGCTTCCTTCTAGGCAACAATGGAATCATAGGCAATATACAAAGTTAAAGAAAACCAAGATGGTTTCCAAATGTTCATACTTTGCGATTGGATATTCAGTCGCGGCACCAGTGCTCGGCCTTCTAACCGCTTCAACTGCTAATCCCATATTCAGACTAAGAGCACGCCCTACTTTGGGAATCCTCCGCGATTTGGGTTGGTTCTGAGGTTGGTGGATGAAGGTGCGAGGTCTTTTGAGAAAAATGTCACTGTTGACATTACTCTTTGGTGATTCAGTGCGCCATCCAGCTTCCCCCCCCCTCCAGGTTTCTGGGGAAAAGTTGGGGGGGGGTGAGCGATTTTTTGAAAAAAATTGGAGATCGATAAGGGGAAAATCTATGAGAGGTGATATGTGATAGAATGGAAAGGGGGTTGTGCACAGAGGAGGGAGAGACGGTAAGCGGTCGTATTTTTGCACCCCCCCCCCAGTGGGCGACGTGACTTGTTTAAAATAAAACATTCCGCGATCATTTGTATAACCTTAAAAGGATAAAGTGTCAATCAGTCCCTTTGGGATGCGGCACGCATCCTAATTCCTTTTAGAATCGTAGTGACTAAATGATTGCGATGAGGCCTATACAGTGACTTGGGGGGGGGGGCAGGCGATGTACAAGACTGTTTTCCTATCTTCCCGCGTTCAATCTGTTACCGATTCACCGTCCTTATTAGGGGCGGAAGGCACGTGGCTGAGTGGGGCTGAGCGGGAACTAGACTCTGAACCGCGTGTGTGGTAAGCTGCCACTTGCCATTACATCACCTCCACCTCACAACTGTTCAGATATGAAGTCTAGAGAAAAAGCAATATGAGACTCGAGAAAATGATGACATCATTAGCAGTTGTAGTGGTCCAACGATTGGCGATAGAGCACTCTTGATCTCTCTGAGTTCACTTGATTCAAAATTGTCTGAGTCACGAAGTATGAACGCAACCTAACACTAATCCACTACGTCATGAGCAATCTTCCTGAGTTCAAGAGAATACAGTCCTAACAAAGAACTAAACTAGAGCCTAAAAATTTACAACCTTCGCCACCGTAGAGCGTTCAAAATCGTTCAACAAAGAAGTCAATGTCCAAAACTGCAAGTGCAATGAAGGACGAACGGAGAAATAAAGGGTCAAATAGTCAAAATTGGGAAAATAACAACTAAATAATGACAAATAACTTTAACAAGCCTATGGTACTAATGGAGGTTCATGCAAATTTTTCTTCTTCTTATCTGGACGTACCCAATAAGATAGCGCTAGCACAGTTTCGTAGGCTCCGAAGAAAACGAAACCGCCTGCTGTCATCCACAGAACACGTGGTACGATACCAGAAAACAGTGATGGGAAGCCACGAGTGGTATATATCTGAAAAAATATCCCTTTCTATTGTAAATATTCAAGTTTCAAGTATTAAGTTTCAATGAAAAACAGCTGTAGTTGTCACCTCATTGAGAGTCTTCAATATGGTTGGAGCTTTTTCCGATTTTGAAAGCATAATCCGAGTTTTTGCTACATCAAGAGGGGTGGTCAGTGCGGCAGCAAATGCTCCTGCTATGCTTCCACAGGCAGCACCTTCAAGTGGTGAACAGTCAGCACCCTAGAAAGAAACTGGACTGTACTAGAAGAGAGGTAGGTGTGAAAGACGTTTGACTAGTCAGTAAAATCAAATTAGTACATACTACAAAGTTAGACGAAAGAGCTCATAATGGCACACGCACAGTTGCAAAAATGGCGATTTTGAGGCTCAAATACCAATGGCAAGACGCCACAATACATGAAGATGGGTGAGGAAAAAAAGCCCTGAATTCCGCCCAAAGTGCCTCATATAGAACCCCATGCTGGACCAGTTGAAAACGAAAGCTGGGTGTCACCCCGTGGCCTGGGGTGGAGTCGTCGTTCCATTCAGCGAGCGGGGGGGCGTGCGTTTCCGCATGCACTTTCGAACTGCGTGAAGCAGTACCGTCACCTCAACGCTCTGCAAGCAGGGACTTACAGCAGGGCGGTCGCATTTGGATTCGACAGACAATATTTTTCTGACAGTTGACCTTCACTGCACGCACAGGAATTCCGGAAACTCAGGGGCACGCCCTGCATTCAAAAATGGAAAGCTGTGTGCCTCAAGTACCAATGAAAAGATGGGCGAAAGCGAAAGGGGGCGTAGTTGACGAGTTTCCACTTCGTATCAGCTTTTTCCCCCTCATCACCTCAAATTCACTATTCGAAATGGAGGAAGCTAATAGCGGAACAATGCACTACAGGGAGGCCTGTAGAAGGGACGAAGAATGTCGGACTTTGCAGCGTACCAGTGGGCGGGGCGGTGGCTTCGCCGTGGAATACGCACAATTAGATTGTGTGCGCATCGATTCGGTAAATCTGACGGCTGGAGGATCGGTGAAATCGGCAAAGATCGAATGTTGTTTGTTCAGCCCCGCCCCTTACGCGTTTGGGGATGAGGTTTACCATGCGTATACCTTTCGCCCATTTCAGACTTTCCGACCAGTCAAATTTGCTAAGTGTAAACACGACCTTGAAGAACTAACAAACCTTTTTCGAAGCGACCGTTTTCTTGAGGAACTCGTAGAGGGGGAACTCTATGATAGAGAACGGAATCTCTCGCGTCACCGTACTCAAGTATCCCCTATAAAAAACAGGAAGGCGACTGGTGTTGTATATTTCTCGACATACTCGCGAAAGGCTCTGCTTGGGTGTCCCTGATGCCTAAACACTGTAAGACAGCAATAGAGAGCGAAATCGAAGAGATCTGGGCAAACCTACCTGTAATCGCTGTTTAACAAGCTCTGTTGGCACACGGATAGCACACGCTATGGTCTCTGCCACACTAGCAGAAAAGGCGTGAACAAAAGCTGCTAAACAGAGAAATCTCAGAATAAGATAGCCTGGCAGGAACAAAGAGCTTGAAGGAAGTGGCAGAGGCCTGTAATCATGCTGAAAAGTTGGCGGCCCCATTCTATTAACTGGAACTCAGCCCAACACTCAAAAATACACCACTTTTCAGGCGTTTTCAGCAGTTTGTTCTGCTGTTCTCTTCGCAGATGTGCCAGTTTAGAACCTACGCCTCATATTTGAACGGCACGCCAACATCTTAGCATCGTACACTGTGCCCTTAAGTAACACCACCCACTTTCCTCTTTGAAAAATCCGTTTATGGTTCTGTAGCTCATGAAGAATAGTGCAGCTCCAGGAGCTGATCCTATAGCGACTGAACCCATTCCGCTGAATAGATAAGGTATACAATATGCGTTCGGATACGAACAGAAAGTGGTAAGTTACCTATAAATATTCCGGAATCCACCGGCGGCTATGAAGCCTTGTTTGCTTTGCAAACGAGTTTTTATTGTATCTAAGGGATAAAGTCCTAAATCGACTGCTAAACCAGCGCCAGCACCACATATCAACCATCGGGGAATGTCCTCATTCATAGGACCCTTAAAAAAACAAAAAAAAAATTTCAGTTTTGATTGAAAAGCACCAGAGGTTGTTGTAATGATTGATAAGAAAAAAAAAAAAATTTTCAATCGGTCGAGAAGGAAGATGCATAGGGCCACATTCGTCGAGTCTCAATCGAGCTCACTGAGCTAAAGATCAAACAGCCCCGGGGTCCACCCAATATAGGTAGGTATTTTGGCACAAAAGTGATTGGCCCCAACTATCAAAAGTGGACTGATGCTGACGTCTACTGGCGGTCAATGGATTCCATATCGGTTCTCTCAAGAATGATCCACCTTCAAAGCGTTCCTTCTCCCTTTTGGATCCCAGTCGCGTTCATACTTCGCGACTGACGTGATTCCATCGCGCGACTGCGACCGACCGCGCTTCACCACCAATCGTTAGGCCGCGGACTTCGCGACGGCAGCGCTTCGGTCGCGCGTTCGACGCGATCGATGCGCATACTTCCGAAGCGCTGCCGTCGCGAAGTCTGAACACTGCCTTAGACCGTTGCCAGACTCGGTAGAAGTTCCTTCTCAAAGCGATTGAAGTGGCACTCGCAGCTGTCCAACTTAGCGATGTAGCAAAATTTGTCGAGGCCGCACAACTCTCGCGTGACTGCATCGCGAAGTATGAACATGGCTTAAGCTCTTTGAAACCCTTCAACTATTGGATCCATTCTCCTGTACACTGAACAGCTTCAGAGGCATATTCCCACGCTAACCGTATTGTACTCAGAGTATTCATACCCTCTTCCTGGCACTTTCCCTTCCTTTTCCAAGAAATAGGAATCTTCAGCGTGTCAAGAGGCTACAAATTTTTTGCTTGCGCCCGAATCATTGAGGAATGAGCCGGTCTAGTAAGATTATATGAGTCCGTACAGCAAAAATGAACGAGGTACGAAAGGCTCAACACAACAGAAAATATTTGGTTCTAAAATCTACTGCCGCGAGGAATCTCCGAAATGTCCGCAGGATTGCGTCTACTAACGTAGTTCTGCAGACTTCTCGTTGTCTGGTGATCTGTGCTAGTTTAATTGAAATGTTTTAAAAGTGAAAGTTACGTTGGTTTCTTCTCTGCAGGAACGAATGATCAACAATCCAGCGAGCCAGTTTGTTCCGAGTCTAGGTGGGTCTCTACTTACCTTGTTTCATTGTTCCCGGCTTCAATAGTTTACCAGTAAAGCCTTTCGTTAAGATCCGCGACAGTTCCCTATTTTGCTGTGAAGGATCCATATTAGAAAACTCGTTGAACAGATTGTCAGGTGAGTCCGCCATTCATCATTCATTTCTCTACAGTATACCCAAAACGTCTGTCCCTTGGCGTTCGCCCGATCTTATGTTAAGCAATTCATTGATTAAGTTATGCAGTTCTATTGTTTATTTGAATTCATGTTTGAGATTTGATCTGATAAAATCACACAATCTATTCAACTACCCTTGAAATGTGTCCAAATAGCCAATTTTGTTTTGAGTAGCTTAGAGACAGTGCTTTACCAAACGCTGCAGCCAGAAGCTTTTTTAGAAAGCGAGGTTGTTAGGAAGTTTATAGTTAGCAAGGATCTCCTTTCAAAATAACTTTGCACGCTGACGTTGTTGGCAGGGGAGGGAGAGGAGCGGGTCAGCGCCTTTAGGCCCAACCAGGACAGGATTAGTGGCTTTCGTTATAGGACTAGGGCTCGGAGACTGTGATCGTCTGCTCTGTAAGCTTAGGCCTTTATGAAAGGACGGGACACAGAAGCGTGAACGAGTGTCCCTCCCCTGCCCAAGTGTGTTGCTGTCTATATTTGATTAATAAAATGTTCAATACAGTTTTTGATCGCTCGTTTATTGTTTGCTATTTTATGGGATCCGCTATCTGGGAGGCCGCGCAATTCGGGAGGGTCGACAATTCGTGTAATATGTAAGTCATTTGACTTCGCCAACAGGCGCTTGCGGAAAATCGGCGTTTGGTCATTCCCGTATAATTCTCTGTAGCGGATTCTTTCAAAACATCTGCAAGGTGTGAAAAGGGTTTTACAAAATTTCAAAAGTTTGCTGTTCATTATTCCTCTCATTATATTCCCTATAGTTTCTTATTCTTTTCTTCTTTGTGAGCCTATTGAAAACAAGTAAGGAATCCTTTCAGAGTTCTGAGAAATGGCTCGTAGAGTAGATTGGTGGATACGAC